TCTATGCCATAGTTGGACCTTGCTTTCCTGCCTTCTTATCCAAAGAGGGGGGGATTTTGGTCATGACTGATAAAGCCATGCTGCTTGCAGCGCGTGTAGAATTGGTGATTATTCTCAATGCTGAATTTTGAATGGTGTCCAGTTTCTTTAGTTGACCCATTAGCTCCCTGGTCGTATATTTCCTCTCCATAGGCAAGTCTTGCTAGTGTCAGAATTTTGTATATCAATGTTTTTATTTTTGAATTTATCCCCCAGGTTTTTTCCTTCTGTGCATTTAAAAATATTCAGGGTGTTGATTCCTTTCTCATATTTTTCAGCTATATGCTCCTTGAACTGGAGGAATTTGTCAAACGTAACTCCCTCCTAGGTATTTTACCGATTTTGTAGTATGGACATTTGTTCCATTTATCTGCAGATCTGGGCATAGTTTTTGGTTAAAGAGGATTGCTTGGGTTTTGTTAATATTTACTTTAAATCCAAGATTTCTAAGAGTCTCGATGAGGACATTTGTTGGATTTTCAATAATCTTTTTTATGAAAGTGGTTTTCTTTTTTGCTCTCTTTCCGGGGGCATGTTTGGCTTTAATCCACAAGGCAGTGTCGTCAGCAAACTGTCCTATGCTTATCTTGGGATATTTATCTTCTATTGCTCCTACCGAATTTATCAATATATTAAAAAGTGTGGGAGAGATTACTGCTCCCTGGGGTGTTCCGTTTTCCTGACTTTTTATTTCAGATGATACGTCTCCAACTTTAACCTGAAACGTCCTTTCATAAAGAAAGTCCTTAATATAATTATACATATTGCCAGTTATCTCCATTTTCATAAGTTGTTCAAGGGTTCCTTGTTTCCATAGTAGATCGTAAGCCTTCTCCAGATCCAAGAAAACCGCTGCCGTTACTTTTCCAAAAGTTATACATTTATCCAGTTCATGAGTTAATCTCAATAACTGATCGTGTGTTTGCCTTTTTCTTCTGAATCCCGACTGGTTGGCACATAATAATTTCTTTTTTTCAATGATGTGGATGAGTTTATTATTTATTATTGTTTCCAAAACTTTTCCAAGATGACTGGTGAGAGAGATCGGTCTGTAGGAAGCCGGTTGGCTTTTATTTTTATTGTGTTTTAATATTGGTATTATTGTGACGTGCTTGAACTCCAGCGGAATTTTGCCTTTATTCCAGATATTGTTGAAGAAGTGTACTATCACTATTTTTGCGTTGTATGGTAATTGGTCATACATTTCATGTCAGGGAATCATGACCTGGGGTGCTTTATTTTTTCTTTCTCAATACACTGTATATCAAAAGTTAGTTTAGTGGTCCTTGATAAACTTTTTGATTGCTATAAGTATGAGGTAGCAGCAGTTGTAGTGTTGAAAAGTGTAGTCCTGGTGAGACTTGCATTGCAAACTGTATAGCATTGGTCATTGTTACGTTCATTCATGAACATAATCAGAAGACCATTAGGAGGCTCATTCATATGAAAATCCTATACAGAACAAGAATTTCTTTCAAAGGAATAGAGGTAGCTTCAGCACTAACTCCAGTAATAATGTATTGTTGGAAAAGACAACGTACCAAGGTACAGTACCATTAACGAATGTATTTGCTGTGAACCTTGCATCCATTGGCTCTCGGAAAAGAGAAGAAATCCTTGGTTTCTTTTTGTCATTCATTTTAACAAATCCTCTCATACGCATCAAAGATACATTCAAGCGACCTAGGACCTAACGTAACAGTTTAATCCTGCGAGCTGGTCAGAGTGATGAGCCTTTATGCATTTTTCACAATCAGCGTCTCTTGAATAAGCACCCCACAATCGGTCCATTGGGGGTGGGGGGGGGGCATGCTATGAGAATACTGTAGATCATTCTTTTCAATATATGTGCATGACCTATCAGAAAAACTGTGTCACTTTTGGGTCCTCAATTAAAGACCCTCCTACACATATAAACATCTGAGCGTGCGTTCCAGATGCCTTCAATATCCAGTTCTGTTCAATGGTAGGGTCACATGGGGTACGGGTGAATAAAAGAAAACACGAAGATGGACGGAGGGGGGCTCTTTAGGAAAAGTGACCATGCCTTTCAATGTAAACTATATAGCTTACCTTACAACAACTCTGATTCAGGTTTTTTTCATAATTCTGATCTCATCAATAGAGTATAATCAATATACTGAGCTAAACCTAACCAAATGTTGCTCTATAGCAACAGCGAGTGCTCTAGAGAAGGAGAGTAGAAAAGGAGAAATTGGAGGATGGTACTTGACTCCGCCCCCCTCTGTCTCTCTCTACCATTACCTTTACTCTCTTTTGCTCTTCTCTCATCTCTCTCTCTCTCTCTCTCTCTCTCTCTCTCTCTCTCTCT